TGTATTGCACACAATAATTTTTTTTAATCTCACTTTTAAGTAAAAAGATATGATTTTGTTCATTACGTGTCTTTTAATTTTGGAATGTGCATGGTGCTGTATATTAGAAAGTCGTCAAACTCAATTATGAACATAAAGATAAAAGGTTGCCCACTTTAATGTTGTTGAGATAATTAGAATCGATACTATTTTGATTCAATATTAGAACTGTAGGAGCTAACTAATTAATAAATCCTTAATGTATAGCACATGCACTTTATATATAGGGAATTAGGGGAAAAAATTAGAAGACGAAAGCGTGCGTTGGCGCGGGGTCGTGAGTGAGGCGAGCGGCACGGGTGCAGGAAGGGGTGCGGGCATGCACTGGGCATCGCAGGCATGCGGCGGGCACTCGCGACCTCGTTGGGCCTTCCGCGAGCGCGCGAGTTGTGCTGCGGGAAATGGTGCGTCCGCGAGATTCGACTAAGGCTATTGGCTCGACACATCTCGGAATTGACTCGAAATCCTTCGGAAAGCTCGTCTTTCGGGGTTCGGTTTTACTCAGATTCTTCATCCTCAGGAAAAACCTGAAAATATACCAAAAACACGGATAAATACGCCAAAATATAAAATAAAATGAAAGACACAAAAATGCACGGAAAACGACAAAATTGACCGGTCGACACCAAAATGAACCTAAAAACGACTCGATAACACACATAAACACATAAAAATAAGCACAAAAACATAACAAACACTTGATGCCTTTGATCGTTTCAAGTTTACGCATCTCAGCTTAATATTTATTATTAATTAGTGAAAAAGAAGGTTTAACTTTCTGTTTTTGTACTTTGGAGCAACCAATTGAATGTTTATATGAATAGTGCTATGTGCACAGGTATTCATATTGTTGTTATGTTATTTATAACTATGGTTTGGTTTCCTTAGTTTTCTGCACAGTTTGTCATTTTGTTGCTGCTTCTTTTTGTTGTTCTTTGTGCTTCCTCGTATTATATCATCTTTTCTACTAGTTCCACACATTCCATTGCCATTTAAAATTATTGCTTGCTCACAATATTTTCTCTTTTTTCTTTTAAGTTCTTTTCATTGGTACTTCTGTGTCTGTATTTTATCTGGCTTGGTACTTTGTCTCGTGTTTCTTATATTTATGTCTGCCGGGCACATCGGTCATAGTTTCGTGATAAGCCCGTGTATAACTTCATACTTCATGCTTGCATAATATTCTACAAATGTGGCTTCCCCCTTCCCACTCCCAAACTTGGTTCTAGGCACTAATTCTGCGAGAACTTTGGATAATTAGTCCCATTATGAATAACGGAATGTCCTGTTTGCTACCCATTTATCAGTTTTAATTATTCTTTGTGCTGGTAGGTTTATATAACTCTGTGCCTTCATATGTGAATTGTTCCTTATATTAGTTCGTCTGGAATTGCAGAAACATGTTACTAGATCAACTTTCTAAACTACAGCATGCACCAAGCGTCCCCTTTCAGTCCATGCCCCCGACCACTGAAGTTCCGGAAGAGGTCAACACATACTAACTTGAAAATCGGTCGTACAATAGAAGTATAACATGATATTTTGAAAACGTCAACCGATCGGCCGTTACCAGTAGCAGGAGATTACCTAACTACAGGACCCGTACAATAGAAGTATAACATGATATTTTGAAAAGGTCAAGTGTCAAGTATTGTATGATCTTGTGTTATATTGCTCTTCTGGAAGTGTACTTGAGAGGGAGTATGATTTTTAGAACTGTGGTCACCATCTGTGGAGTTTTATTTCGATGATAAGTAGACAACTTAATTCATTTGGTGCTTCAAAAAGTTTGAAGCACCAAATGAATAACAGTTTCATTGCAATTATTATTGTCGAAACAATTGTTGTTGCTAATAATATGGAAAAAGGATAATGCCACATGGGAAAGTTAATGGAATGATGGTAGCCTTATCAGTAAAATCGTCATGGATTAGTTAGATTTATCACTTCACATAATTAATAGCCTTTACGGCTTTAGCCTATTGTGGGGACCTGCCAGTGACGGACATTTCTCGACCAAAACAGCCTATACGGCTTTAGCCAAACCGACGACCGACCCGGATAGGCCCCTCTGGAAACTGATTTGGAGAGCCCCGGTGCCGCAGCGGGTCCGAGCATTCTTGTGGTTGACTGCCAAGGAACGGTTACTCACTAATTCTGAGCGGGTCCGGCGACATATCTCAGCGTCGGCGGACTGTGATGCATGTGGCATGCCTGAATCCACGATACATGTCCTTCGGGATTGTCCAGCTACCAAGAGTATGTGGTCACGACTACTTCCTCCCGGGTCTGCGAGCAGTTTCTTCAACCTGCAATTAAAACCGTGGCTATGGCTAATTTAGGGATGTTGCGGGGGTCGCACAAGAACTGGAGTAGTCAATTCGCTGTTGCTGCTTGGTGTTCATGGAGGTGGCGGAATGATCGGGTGTTCAACGGCAAGACTATAGGATGTGCAGCCCGGTGTATAGACATTGCCCGTCGAGTGGAAACTTATGAGAAGGCGGCGGTGGCTTATGCTAAGGCGGGAGCGGAGGTGCTTGACATGCGTATGATTCAATGGAGTCCGCCAACTTCGGAGTGGATCAAAGTAAACACGAATGGGGCTCTTGACCGTACCACGGGCCTAGGAAGCGTTGGCGGCTTGATTCGGGATGCTAGCGGGTCTTAGATCGAGGGGTTCCTTATGAATATTGGGGTATGCACTGTAATGGGAGCGGAATTGTGGGGACTGTTCCAAGAGATGCAGTTGGCTTGGGACCTGGGATTCTGACAGGTTGTAGCCGAGATCGACAATCAATGTGTGACAGAATTGATCCTTGGGTCTGACGAATATTCCGGTGCCTACGACTCACTTGTTCGAGCTATTCGCAATTTGGTGCACCGCAACAGGAACATTCAGATCAGACACGTGCATAGAGAAGCAAATTTTGCAACAGACTACATGGCGGCTCTAGCGGCCTCGGCTCCTTTGGGCCTGCAAAAAACTTCATCTCCGCCTCCAGGATTGGTTGCTTGGCTTGAACACGATATTCGTGGGGTGGCATACCCACGACGAGTGCTAGTTTAATCATCTAGGCCTTGGCCTCTTTAATGTACCAAAAAAAATAAAAAATAAAAAATAGCCAGCTTGTTTGGGATTTAACATTCATGGATGATTACGTTTATTGTCAGCATTCATTTCGAACTAATCGGATCCTGAAAAAATGAGTACCATCAA